TTTCTAAGTTAATTGTCTTGGGTATTTTGTTCCAAGAATGGAAAGCGGCCTAACAGAGTTTATGACAGAGATCTGCAGTTGGGATGGTGGGCACAACGGAATCACACAATATTATTCTAAACTAGCAGAAGGTTGAAAATGAAGAAGCTGGGGAAGGGAATAACAGTCAGAATGTTGTGGTCATGAGCTAGAGAATGTAGGCAACATCTAGAGACTGGAAAGTGGCACAAGTGGGGTCTCCCATAGAGCCAGGAGGGGATGTATCTTGATTTTAACCTGTGAGACCATGTGAGACTCTGACCTTTGGTGTGGAAGATAATAAATTCATGTTGCTTTATGCTCAAAAGCATGAGCCTTTGACTTTGAGAGATGCTTCTTAAAATGATACGATGTATCATATTTACTTGAAATGCTTTGGAAAGTGGGGGATGAGACAGAAAAGAATCAAGGCTGGCCATTCTTTGATAATTGTTAAAGCTGGGAATGAATCCATATTGGGTGATTAAATATTGTTTCTTTTTCTGGTTTGAAATTTTCCATAATGACATAGTTTATAAAGCAAAAACAAGGGGGAGAGGAGAATGGAGGAGAATGGAGGAAAGAGAGAGAAAAGGCCCCGTGGGGTCTGTCACAGTCCAGAAATAAATGTAATGTGATTGGTTGAGAGGCCACACGGAAGGCAGCAGACCCACACTGTAGAGCCATCTTCTACACAGACATAAACACACACACACACACACACACACACACACACACACACACACACACATACACACACACACACACACACCCCTTAGGTTATGATTCTAGGAATTGTAGACATGGGTGTATAATTTGTACATTTGAACATGGTTTTGTGTGTGTGTGCACATGCCACACGTGTGGAGGTCAGTGGACAGCTTTCTTTCCTTCCATGTGGGAGCCCAGGCTGAATCTGGTTTATGTCTAGCTTGTGCACCCTGTGCTTACTTGCTGAGCCCTCCCACTCCTATCTGAATATTGGTGCACTCACTAATCAGTGCTCAGCCCTTAGGACCTCTTGATAAGCCCTGTCTCCCCAACACAGGACTCGGGAAAAGCACTTTCGATGCCCACCCCCTCTTTCTTTCAGACATTAATTTTGAAGATAGGGTGGCAGCAGCCGACCCTAGCGTGGGGTCATTCTCCAGAGTGTGACTCCAGAGACACTTCTCCATGTTGCATGTCTCCAAAGCAGGCTGAGCCCTTAGGGAAAGAAGCAGAGATATGATGTGAGCACACAGGACAGAGGGCCAAGCTATTGGTCCCCCACATGAAGTGAGGGTCCTGGGGTGGGAGATCTGGCAGAGAGAATGGGATGATGTTGGCACTCTCCATAGCACCTTGGCAGGAGCATTTTCTGAGGAGGGCCAGAGCCTCTGTCTGTCCCATTGCCCTTGGAGAACTCTGTAGTTCCAACAGCTGGAGAAGACCCTAGGCCAGCTGCTTGCTGTGGCAGTAGCAGGGGCAGAGGATAGCCCACCTCACAAGGCAGGCATGTGAGAAAGATACCCCCTTGCCTCTGATGTTATCCCATGGAGAAAACTGATCAGCTGAAGAATGGAAAAGCATGCTTTCTCCTGGTCCTCAGAGGGAGGGCCTGCAGCTCCCCTGAGCCCCTCCCCAGACCCCCCCCCCCCCCCGTGGTTCTCTGTCCTTCCTACTCACCACAGCTCAGGAGTGCTCCTTGCTTCTTCTTGTCCCACTGTATACATGCAGTTTGGTTGCTCTTGACCTTGGCACTCTTTGGGTCTCCAAGAATTGGTTGTGAATCTCCACTCCTATTCTTGGGATTAGTGAATGAAGAAAGCCCAGTAAGGGGTATCCTAGTGTATTGCACCCCACCATGAACAAGTCTGCCCCTTTCTTCCCTCTGCACACTGACTCATCCCTAGACTCCCTCCTCCTCCTCGGCCCTGTCCTTCCTTCTGCGTGACTAGTCCTCCCCTGGACCTCCTCACACCTCCTTGATTCTGCCTGTCCAGAAGCTCCAGCAAGAGCTGCCTCTTTTAAGGAACGCTCCTTGATCACTAGCCCCCAGAGGTCCCACATCTCTAATGTTCTCTCCTCCATTGTTCCTCCCCTGCTTACACATCCAGGTAACCCTGCATCACACAGAAGGGCGTTTGAAACCAACTCTATAGAATCCAGTAAGCAGAGGCAGCCATCAGCAGAAGGAGGGTCACAGTGGTACCCACAGCTTCCGTGGAGCACTTTACACTTCAGTTTAGTGGGTGGGTCTTAAGGCCCCAGAGTGGGGCAGAGACCAGCAGTACCTCTCCCCTTTCCTTCACTTCTGTTTCCTCTGGCTCAAGCACAGAAGGTGTGGAATTGCCCTCTGTGTCATACCCTTTTTATCTCTTTGTCCTTTGGGCCCCACCATGCTGAAGGATAAGTAGTCAGTGTGCCCATTTTACAGATGTGGAGACAGAGGTATAAAGAGGCTAATTAACTTACCCAAGATCACTCAGTAAGACAGCCACCTGGACTACATCAAAACAGGTGGTCTGCCCTAAAGCCCACACATACAGCCTGGCACAGCTGCAAGACAGTCAGCAGCTATGACCCCCATAGGCCCATATGTTTATGTTGTTGCCTCCCCGCCCCCAATAGAACTGTTTGGGAAGAATATGTATGGGCGTGGTGTGCAGGAGGCAGGCCTTCAGGTTTCCGCATCCTTCCTTCGTCCCCAGTACACTCACTCTGCTCTGGATTGTGGATATGAGTTTCCAGTGGCTTCCCCAGGACCTCTCCTGCCTGCTGCTGTGACGCTCCCCACCGTGATGGCAATGGACTCCTATCTCTCTGGAACCTTAAGCCCATACTAAACCCTTCCTTCTCTAAGTTGCCTTTGTCATGGTTTTATCACAACAATAGAAACCCTCACTCAATGGTTCTCAACCTTCCAAACCCTTTAATGCACTCCATGGTGTGGTGACCCCCAACCATAAAATTATTTTCATTGCTACTTCATAATTGCTATTGTTACAAATCTTAATGTAAATATCTGTTTTCCGATGGTCTTAGGCAACTCCTGTGAAAGGGTTCTTCGACCTCCAAATTGAGAACCACTGCCTCACAGGGAACCTCCTGGGGAGTCCAAAGGGGCAGGATTTTAGAGCACTAGAAAAAGAGACAGGCAGAGACAGAGTAAACTAACATGCTATCTATGTGCTGAACAAGCCAGCTCAGCACAAAGGCCAAGAGAGCAGGAGATGGCCAAAGTGGCCGGGGAAAGGAGTGGTCAGATCTGTGGCCTCCCTGAGGAGGAGCAGAGACCTGGAGCAAGACATCGGGTAGAGAAACATGCCTCTGTCCAGAACACAAGGAGCCACTCTGAGCACAGCAACAGACCAGCACTGGGTTTTGGCATAAATAATCTCAGGAGACTCATCTCAGGGCACAAAGGGAAGTGGCTGGGCGGGAGGGTGAAACCTGGGTGGTGAGGGGGCGAGAGAAGGACTTTAGACTTGTTGGGGGTGGGGATTGCTGAGGAATCATTCATCCTTCATCCCGGTGAGTCAGGATGACAAAGAAGCTGTGTGCTGGGGCTTCCCCTCACTCAGTATCTTAGATGATTTGGATCAAGGCAGGACCTATCCCGGCGACTGACCACAGAAGTGACTTCTTACACCTTTGGGTTAGGCAGAGCTGGGGCAGGCTGTCTTGGCTGCCCAACCTAGCTGAGCACTGCACTAACTGGGGAGGGGACACAGGGCCAGGATCTCGATAATAACCGACAGCCTGAGCAACCCAGAGCCCAACAAAGGGCAGATTGGAGACCAGGGCTGTGATGGGAATACAGCTTCGGCACTCAGCCCAGATGATCCTCCCAACCCCAGAACTTGACAACACCTGGAGGCATCTTTGTGGAACTTTAGGGAGTCGGGACCAGGAGTGCTACTGAAAATCCTTCAAGATACAGAACAGCTCGCAACCACCCATTTCAATAATGCTTAGGATGAGAATCCCTGGTTTATGGCAAGAGTGAGAAGAGCTAAAATCCCAACCTTTCTCCCAGAGGACACTCCCCCCACCCTGAGGGATAGTGCCCTTTAGTCATTTACCCCCCCGCGGGGGGGAGGGGGGAGGCGTGGTTCTGTAGCTAGAAGAAGAAAGCATACCACAGCTCACAGCTCATTCCACAGCCTCCTAGGCTCTGATCTGTGCTAAAAACAAATTTTTAAAACAAACATTTAGTCTTCAGCAGGTCAAAAAGTCAGGCACTGTGAATATGCCATCTCTTTGTAGCACACAGGTGGCAGGTGAGATGTGATAAGGTCTTCACTGCTACTGTTGCCAATGGCAGCAAGGATCAGAAGCCACGGAACACACCCACCCCCACCCCGACCCTGACACAGGCAATCAGGAGCTGAGCTGGGTAAGTAATGGAAGCCTACAAAACAATGGGAATTCATTCTATGCACCGATATGGAAAAGGCCCCCAGAATATATTAAGTGAAAAAGGCCAAGCGCAGAATCAAGGGGAGAGCTGTGTCGTCCTTCTGAGGAAGGAGAGGAAAACACAATAGTCCGCAGAAGAATGAAGGTTCACATCTGCAAGAAGCCTGGGGTCCCTGACCACCGTGCATGGATTCACCTGGAGCGTGTTCTTGTCCAATGCACCTTTAATAACAACTTTGCTTTGTTTTCTGGGAGAGCTGTGGGCAGTTGCTCCACACTTCATCCCAGAGTTAAACAGACTAGCTTTTCGAACTGGCCAGGCCACTGGCATGGAACTTTAGACAAATGGCCTCTTCCTTAATGGTAAATCCGGAGGAGACCTGTTCTCAACATTCAAGAGGCCTGTGGGTGAGAGAGTTCCTGGCGTTTGAAGAACTCCCAGCGGGTACCGAGAATTCCAGGCGCTTGAAAGACTCCCAGGAGGGTACACAGAGACAAACCTAGCTTTCCGCACCTTCCTCGCCCCCTACCCGCCTCAGTCCCCGCCCCTGTCCCCGCCCCGCCCTCGCACACTGGGAGGAGGGACGGCTACAATGGATCCTCCTGCGGGCTTTGTGCACGCTCGGAATCCAGCTGTCGCCGGCCAGCCGAGCCCCGTGTCCCCCGAGGGCGCCCATTTCCGGGCCTCCCATCACTCGGAGAGCATTGGCAGGCAGCGTCCAGGCCGAGCCCACAGCCGCTCCCGCCTTCTCGGTGTCCGACCACCCCTAGTCTGTCCCCAAAATGCCTGTGGACTTCAACGGGTACTGGAAGATGCTGAGCAACGAGAATTTCGAGGAGTACCTGCGCGCGCTGGGTAAGCGCGGCTCGAGGTGCGCAACCCCGGGCTCCCTGCAGAACCCCGCCACCCCGAGCCCAGAGTTCAGCCGCCGGCTTCCAACAAGAAGGCCTGAGTTGTTAGGGTTAATTGGTGGCAAGAGTCTGCTAGCTGTCCCTCGTGGTAGATAATTCAGTTAGTAGAGCTGGGCTAGCTTTGCTAGTTTTGGTTTGTAAAGGGCGAGCAAAGGGGCAAAAACAAACAAACAAACAAAAAACTTTATTTTCAAAAGAAAAAAAAAAAAAAAAAGGAGGAGAAGGCACAGACGGCCCTCAGAGGCTGCGCAAAGTGAGCGAGGAATCCCAGCCTTGTTCCTCCGTGGGATCGCGATTGCTCCCGAAGCCCTTCCTCCACCTAGGGAACCCTTCCTTCTCTGTTTTTGTTGTCGTTGTTTGACAACTCTGCCTCCCTTGCAGATGTCAACGTGGCCTTGCGCAAAATCGCCAACTTGCTGAAGCCAGACAAAGAAATCGTACAGGACGGCGACCACATGATCATCCGCACGCTGAGCACTTTTCGGAACTACATTATGGACTTCCAAGTTGGGAAGGAGTTTGAGGAGGACCTGACCGGCATTGACGACCGCAAGTGCATGGTGAGGCCCCCGTGAGCCCTTTGGTGTCTTCTGCTCTGAGGTTCTGTCCTAGGGCTGGGCTAGCTCATCTGGAGGGAGCAAAAATGCTGTGTTAGGAAGGACTGCGGATCTTCCCTCCCAGCCCCAGAGTCCCTGGGTAGGCAAAACCCACTCTGCAAGCGTTGGCGACTGTGAAGGCTCCAGTTCGGTGAGTCTCCTCCACGGTGTTCAGGCTCTCTACCAGGTGCTCAGACACACGTGGCCTCACCGTGGCTCACCTTAACCGTGAGGAGACAGGAGCGCATCCATTTTACAGATAAAACTGGCTTAGGGAATCGGGTAGAGAGGTCGGGAGGGGGCCTGGAATGGATGGGAACAGGAAGAAAGGAGGAGAGAACACAGGGGACCCTCTGAAGTTCAATTTCCTGTCTAGTGTGAAGTCTCTGTAGGGAGCTGGAGGTCTCCTGCCTGCCGCTCTTGCTGCAAAGCTGGGATTTGACCCTGGCCCAGCCTGATACCCACTGAGCCCTGAGCTTCCTTTCAACTTTGACCCAATTCCTCAATCTATAGGTCAGTGCCCAGCATCCAGGGCCAAGAGCGGGAAACTAGTGACCCTCAGACCCCAATTAGCAATGCTCCAGCAGACTCCGGAAGGTCAGCTTCAAGCCTCCATCCGCATGTTGGGGGTTTCTGGGAGGCCAGGATACTCCCAGTGTCTCGGGTCCAGACTCCCTTGCTCCTGCTCCCAGGAGCTGCCTTGCTTTGTAAGGAGGAGGAGCTTGCTACCCTCCCCTCACTGTCAATGGCATTTATGGCTGTCAGCTGTGTGCCCTGCAAGCTGGCATCACCACAGCTCAGTGAAGGGCCATTGGGAACTCCGTATCAAGCCAGTGACTGAGGGGCAGAAATTGCAAGAGTGGGGATTTGAACCCGCTTATCTGAAGGCCATACCCCACCCTACACTCTGCCAGGCTCCTCTGTGGACAGCCAGCCCTTTCAGAAACAGTCTAGCTAAGTTCTCGAGGACTATGGCTGAAGAGGGTTAAGGAATCCCAGAAGGACTACTCAGCCTTACCTGCTTTATTCTTTGGGAAGCCACAGGACCAATATCTGAAGGGTGGGAAGAGAGTAGGCAGTGAGCAGTGTACTTGGAGATGCCTTGGGAGAGAGAAAACTGCTGTTGTAGGACAATGCCACACTCTAAAGCCATGGTTCTCAACCAGTGGGTCTCGACCCCCGTTGTCACATATTTGATATCCTGAGTGTCAGATATATACATTATGATTCATAACAGTAGCAAAATTGTAGTTATGAAGTAGCAATGAAAATAATTCTATGGTCAGGGGGTCACCACAACATGAGGGTCACAGCATTAGGAAGGTTGAGAGCCACTGCTCTAAAATCTCCAGGCACCAGACACTTAGAATCAGAAAGGACACCTTCAGACAGGGTCTGCCTTCTTTCCATTGCCCAAGACGAACTCTTCCGTGCCACTACATGGGACTCCGCTCCATGATTCAGTTCCCTCTTAGACACATCAGATGCGTCTTTATTTGGAGTCACTACAGTTCTGAATGTGCTGGCTTGTACTTGGTTGATGATTGTTACTGATCACCTAGTCATACTAGTGAGCATTCACTAGTTGTCTACTGTGTGCCTGGTGGTGTCATAGCGTACATTAATTCACCAACTCTTCACCGACTTTATACACAGGGTTTCTTCCTGGGCTAACCTTGGGGTGGGAGTTCCCTGCAAGAGAGAGGAAAGATCTGAATGAGCAATCTGCCTCCCTTGAATGCGGTCAGGACACCAGGCACACACACACACACACACACACACACACACACACACACACACACACACAGCAAAGCACAGTCCTTGACATCCAGGAACACACAATCTTTGTGTAAGACAGACCCTCAGAGGTCCTAACAGCCAGCCTGTGTGTGCCATGAAGACAAAGGGAGGCAAGATGAGTCGTGGGGCAGGCTGGAGGGGGTCCCGAGGTTCTGGAGGGGGTCCCTCCTGCACTAGTGGGAAAGGAATGGGAGGTGGGGGGAGCACTTGGAACACAGAGGAAGGAGCAATGGCCACCTTTTCTTAGAGCTTCCTGGTACGTGAACCAGCGAGGGATCCTAGCCGCAGGTGGAGCTGGGTGATAATGCTGGGTGATGATGCTGGGTGATGATGCTGAGTGATGATGCTGAGTGATGATGCTGGGTGATGATGCTGAGTGAAGATGCTGGGTGATGATGCTGAGTGAATATGCTGGGTGATGATGCTGAGTGAAGATGCTGGGTGATGATGCTGGGTGATGATGCTGAGTGAAGATGCTGGGTGATGATGCTGAGTGAAGATGCTGGATGATGATGTTGGGTGATGATGCTGGATGATGATGCTGAGTGAAGATGCTGGGTGATGATGCTGGGTGATGATGCTGGGTGATGATGCTGGGTGATGATGCTGGGTGATGATACTGGGCTGATGTTCCTGTTATCGTCACTGCTGCAAGACTCATTGGCATCACTCTCTGGGAGGTGGGATTGTTATCAAAGTTGGGGCCGCAGTCTGTAACCCACAAAGCCAGGTTCAGCTGCCTGTCCTGAATAAGCCAATTTAAAAAGACAAATTTAATAGTAAAGAGCAGAAAAAAGAAATTCAAAGTGGCCACAGTTGGGGAAAGGACATGAGGTCCAGTGACCTTTCTCCCCCAAGTCCACCCTGGGGTCCTGAAGTGAAATTAAGGCTTAAATAGAGGGCCAGAGATATGCATGTTAAGTAGTCCTGTCAAGGTGTGTTCCTGCTCACCACTGACCCTCACTGTCTCTTCTGTAAGGTGGTATAACAACCTAACAACTGGCTAATCTAGTGCCTCTTCGCCTCTGGCTGGCCAGGCCTTTAGGTTTGCTTGTCTTTTTTATTTATTTATTTATTTATTTATTTATTTATTTATTTATTTATTTATTTATTCATTTATTTATTTATTTATTTATTTATTGCCAGAATGAGATTTCAGAGGGAATTCCAGTTTCTTGGCGTCCGACAGGCAAAAAAAGGGACACAAATGTCTTTTTAAAATGTCTTTATTCCCCACCCCCCAACATACAAGATATCAGGGGATAGACCTTAGCCCTCTGCTCTGCTGGAGTGGTCCCTGGGCCCCTTGAAGTGCAAGGAAGCCCTTCGTTGGGAGCTGCTCCCTGGGTAGTATGTAGGTGTAGACCCCAGTGAAGAGGTACAGAACAAGACTGGGATAGGTGTGAGACAACTATCAGAACAGCTTAGGAAAGGCCTGGGTGAAAGGAGGCTGCCGGTGAGAGACCCGGTACTCCGCAAGAGCTTGTATGTGGCTGGAGTGCAAAACATGACAGAGGGACAAGGGGTGATGACCTAAGAGAGGACCTAAACAGGACCTGACAAGTCAGCAGGGTGTTCTCACTGAGCAAGGCGGGGCCAGGCTAACATTCCTCTGCCAAGGGCCAGAAGACTGCTGGCGCAATGTCTCTGTTTCTTCCTCTTCCACGGGAATCTTATCTGTATTCAGAGCACAGCCAGAAGATGGAATCCAGCCTGAAGATGTATTTTGTTTGGCCTGCACAGTGTTTGAGTCAGTTGCCAATGAGGGCCAAGGAGTCTAAGATTTCATAGGGAGAAGAAAAAAATCCTATGTCTGACTGTTCTTACGAAACATCAAGAGCTGAAAACACCAGACTTGCGCTCGCTCTCTCTCTCTCTCTCTCTCTCTCTCTCTCTCTCTCTCTCTCTCTCTCTCTCCACTGTGTAGGTCTCTCGGACACTCCCTAGTGCTCCCTTACGCGAGCAGTTTGCCACCATCCTCACCCACCCTGGTACCCGAGGGTCAAGTAGCCGTTTGTCTTGTTTACTCTGTAACTCCTGCTTTGGAGTAAGGCAGCGTCTCCATACGTGTGCCTGTATAAAAAGCACCAATGAAGTGCGAAGGACCCTGGGCCGCTGCCTGTAGTCGGCCTCCCCTGCCATCTCGGACATGGTCTAGAAACATATGAGCTGTCTGTGTGACCCTGAAGCTCTTAGCCCACCATTTCCAGTCTGGTCAGTAGAGATCCTTCAGGACCACAGGGCAAGCAAAGGCCTCAATTCTGGTAAAGGCATAGAAAGGCTGGTTTGAACCCAATAGACACAAGGGATTTCCCCACTGCCCATGGTCTCCTTTGTCCACACTGTGCAGTATCAGACAAGACACCAACCAGGAGTATCAGATGCAATTGGCCTACAGGGATTTCTCAGGGTGGGGCTCAGACAGGTAGGTGCTCTGCAGCTTCAGATATGAGTCTCCCACTTCTGCTCAGGACAGTCCCTAGAATCATTCAGTTCTTTGTCCTCAGCTGCCCTCCATAGTGAGTGGATCCTGTGGGATGAAACTGAGCCTCAGCTAGGAACCAGCAGTGAGCCTGGCTCTGCATGCTGGTGGCAGAAGGGCCATTTGTCATCCCACAGTGGACACCAGGTCAGGGTTTCCCTGGAAGAGGCTGCTTTGTTCGCTCGGGTCTGGCGCTGCCCCCCTCGGCCTTGGCCTCGCCTTCTCATCTAGCTTTGAACTCAGGATGACCCCTCCACGGGGCCTGCCTTCCCCTCCCAGCACTTGGCCCACAGCCGCTTTCTTTGTTTTTATTATAAAAGGGAAGAGGAAAAATCCCAATAGCAGCGGAAGAGAACAAAAAGAAAAGCAAGGGGCCCCTTCCTCCACTCAGCCATATCCTACCTCTCAAAGCTTTTTACTGCTACAGTTTCCAGTGGGTCTCTGGGAAAGCCTTGCCTGTGTGTCTATCTACCAGCTGGTCAACTGGCCAAAATAGCTACCTACGGCTAGAAAGAAGGAAGAGAGGGAAGAGAAGAAAAGGGAGGGGGGAGTGGAAGGGAAGGAAGGAAGGGAAGGGAGAAGAGAGATGGGAAAATTCCATTTTCCTGCATATAGTTTTTTAATATGATATTTTTAGGCATCTCTCCTTATGTGCACTTTCAGACTTTTTAAAATCTCTCTC